AAATTAATATATGTATAAACTAGCCCCATTTCCACATGCACTTCTGTGAAAAATGCAGTACAATAACTTCAACCATTCAAAAATTACAGGAGGTGTTTAAGTTATGTGACTCTCCCTGTATATAAATTAAAAATTAATTTTAAATTCAGCATCAATGAAAAATTCTTGGAGATGCAGAGAAAAAATCTTTGTTGTACCTCCGATGGCGACATTTGATGACAGAACAATAGTGGAATGAGAGACAAAAAGGGAAGACAGGTGAGAGATGAATCAATGGGAAGACCCACTTTGTCCAACACAAAACTTCATACAGATGACTGGGTTTTGAATATCAGCACACAAACTTGGAAAACAATGCCTGTCTACCAGGCTACAAGTCACCCATTTCTTATGAATATATTTATATTAACACATTGGATCCTGGTGAAAGAGCATTTCATAATCATTATGATAATTCATAATGATCTGCATCAATATTCAATGTAAATTACACAGACTATTCCACTCGTGAAATTACGACCAGTAGTCTTTAACTATACATATAATATGCCCCAGCCCTAATCAGGGTGGTGTATCTAAAAAACTTTATAATTTTTTTAATCTGATTTTTCTTACCTCCCCTCCCTACTGACCAGCTCCAATTGGTGTATCTTATGTGTGTATCCATCTCTGTGTGCAATAAACCACGCACATATAATACAAGGTCTTTGATTTTAACTTTGCTTTCAGTTATTTTCAATAGTAAACACATGGCGACATTTGCTGTCACACCAGATGAACAAATCAATAAAATAATTTGTGAAGATATACCAGAAAACAGAGATAAATGGAACGTATATTTGGAATTGGTATCTAAAATTCTACAAAGAACAAAGTTACGTTCCAAGAAAAGGTATTCCTAACTCAAGAATAAGGGAACATTTTGGCACATTGGCTGATCAATATGTGCAAATCAAATGGAGAAGAATACAAAGGGTATTCTGTAAAGCCAATATGGGATGTGACTGCAAAACTCGCTCAAGAAAATTATTGTAATGAGTACGGAAGAAATTTCAACCCATTCACAGATCAAGAATTTCAACGGACTAGAAATGCAAGGAATGCGAAGAGAAAATATCTTCAAAAAATAGAAAAGGAAAGGGAGTGTTGCAGCGTTAAAAGGTGAAGAATACCAAAGATTGTTTGACCTATGCGATGAAAATACATGTAAAAGCTTGCAGATAATTTTTATTTCTCATAGCATCTTTAGAATTGGCTTGGCATGAGGAAGAACCATGCTGAAAACATACAAATTGAGCATTTCTTCTTAATCCCTAACCTTTTGAACGTAATAGGAAAAAAGTGATACATTCTACACAATCTACTACACTGTCTTGCTTAATTCAGAAAGGAGTACAAGAACATGAGGTAATCAAAATTGCAGGTCATGCTACTTAATCAATCACTTTGTTCCCAAGAAACCAGTTTTTGTCAGTTCTTATCTGTGTTGGTACTCCTCAGAGCATATTGACTGTATCAGAGAAAAAAAGAAGTTTCACAAACTGTACAAACAAATTCATCTGATTAATATGATAAATTTTCTACCTTGCAATTCAGGGTGTTTCATTTACAGAGTGTCCTTTTCCAATATTACGTACATAAAATTGAACTATCTGCTTGTAAAGATATTAAAACTTTTTGGAAGTTTATCAATATGTCTAATAGCAGTTACCTGATGTTATGCATTTAGGTACAAACTGTTGCAGTGCTTATTCAAAAATTGCCACCTTAATTTCTACTCATTTTTTTTCATCAATATACAAAACATGATTTAAAAACCATGCCAACTACTACCGCTGACTTTCAATATCATTATCAAATTCACGTTTTCAGAAATTCTTCTTGCTCTAAGTCGTTTGAACTTCGGTAAGACAGCTGGATCAGCTGAGATTTTTTGAGCAATTGCAAATTTGCTCTCGCACCACCATTATGTTATATCTTTAATCCTAGGACACGAGGATTTTTCCCACAGCTTGGAAATGTAGGAAAGTTGTCCCTATATTGAAGAAAGGATACAAAAGTGATATTACAAATTACCGTCCTCTTTCCATTCTCAGGGCTATCTTAAAACTTTTCGAGAAACTTGTAGTTAATGCTTTGGCACCACACTTTTCCACAATTATTTCTGACCATCAACACGGTTTTACTAGCAATAGATCTACTTCAACTAACCTAACTATATTTAAAAACTATATCATTAAAGCATTTGAATCCGGTTCTTTAGTCCATGCTGTATACACAGAGTTTGTCAAGGCTTTCAACCATGATAATCATGATATATTGATTGACAAATTGTCATACTTAGGCATTAATGATTCACTCCTATCATGGATATGTCATATCTTTCCGGCAGAAGTCAGTATGTCATTAATGGTCATGCGTCCGAGCCATTTGAAGTTATTCTGGTGTACCTTAAAGCTCTCATCTAGGTCCAATTTTGTTTAATATTTTCATAAGTGATCTGTCATCAGTTATCAAATATAGTAAAAACTATGCCAAGATTATTGCCAATTTATGCAAAATTTATACCAAGATTACCAATTTTAATTATGCCTACCTCCTACAGGACAGTCTCTCTGTCTTCTCCCTGTGGTGTTCTACAAACAAAATGGAACTCTAAAGTTATATGTTTTTTGCAATGACCTCTGCCCAGAGACATAATATTGTGAGCTACTCACATTCTTTAAATGGTCAGTCCCTGAGCACTGACTAACATCAGGGATCTCAGAGTAATTTTCGACTAACTAAATTTTAATATACATATTACTGTTACAGTAAATAAAAATCTGCGTTCCCTGAGTTTGATTTTGTGCAACACCAAATCCTTCCAGTCCACCAATAACTTATTAATTCTTTATAAAACTTTGATTCCTCCTATTTTAGAATACACCACTGTCATTTCGTCACCTTACACCACTTTATCAATAATTTGGAAGAAGTTCAATGTAAATTTGTATGCCACTTAGCTTTCAGAAACAGGACACCAATTCATAGATTCAATCATGACCTTTCCAAATTCTACAATTTATGTAAATTGGAATCTTTTCAGAATAGGAGAAAATTCTATGATTTAATTTTCTTTCATAAAATACTACATGATCTCATTGATTGGCCTGAACTTCATTCTCTAATCTTTCTTCACATTCCTCAGATTACAACAAGAAATCCTACCTGCTTCTGGGTGCATATACCTTCTACTATATACACCTATTATGACATTATCAATAAATTACCTAGAACTGCCAATTACTATGCCGACAGAATTGATTCTTTCAATCACGACTTTAAAAATTTTTGGAGTTGTCTTAAACTTCAATTTTCAATCCTGACTTTACCTGAGCATTATGAAAGACAACTTAATTTTTTTTTTTTAAACAGTCTTGATTCCAATATTGTATTCTTTTTTTAACAACACTCTTATTCTTTTGATAGCCATGACTTAATATTAATTTATGTTATTTTGATATTTTGTACTAGTATGTTTCTGTCATTATGTATGAATTTTTTCTTTCTGTAAAGGGTTCATCCCACTTACTAAAAATAAATAATTTCAATTGTGAAATAGTCCTATTAAATACCTCTTGCACTTTGGAAATTCTCACTTCATGAGTCAGGCATTTATTGACAATTTCTAAACAATGTGTGGTAGTTCCTATGATGATTTGTAAATTGATGCTATAATTAGAATACGAGTGTGTCAATGAAAGAGGTCTTTACCAACTGTTTAATGTTAAAAACATTGGTGACAACTTTCATTACTACTCTCTACAGAAATTTCAGACAATTATTTGCAAGAATTCACACCACAGAAATCGATCTGAGACAAATTATACCAAATAACTTTTCCATTATGCGCCTCACAATTGGTAATTTTTGCTGTTCTTCTGTTGGCAAAAAGACCTATTATAATTGTGCAAGTAACTACACATAGCATTTTAAAGGACTATGTTACTACTATTTACCATGTCACATTAATACATCTTCCTTTTCTTCCATGAGGGTTCAGGTTTGGATCACCTACACTTTTTTGACATAATTCGCCATTTCCTTCATTTTTCCTCTAAAAAATGTCTGTACTTTGATTTCCCATTTTTCCAGGTTTTCTGTTTTTCCAGAAATTAACAATCCTGGTAGAGCACTACATACATGTCTGACAACAAGCTTCAACTAGATCTCCATAATGTTCTATCCAGTTCTTCTTCCATTGTTCCAATATTTATAAATCTCCTCTTCCTCTATCCCAATTATTTTGTCTGATGTTCACACACCATGTTTCTTCTTCTTCACTTACTGGTCCATAGATGTTGTGCACTCAATGACTTTTCTACCTTGTTTTAGGTCACTCAACAGACCTATTTCCTTTAGGGTGGTATTGTGTGACTTCTTTTGGAGTTCTAGAATTATCCATTCTCTGTACAGGGTTTGTCCATGCGTTCCTTTGTAATTTTGGGTATTTAATTGAAATCCCCCAACTTTTTTTTACATCCTCATTTATGAAAATTTAAGGAGGCGATATCTTCATTGCCTTGATTTGGGATTTATTTTAAATTGTGTTGCCAAAACTATTTTATAAGTTGCATTTAATCTTATTATAGGAAAAGGTAAAAATGTGTGTTTGGAAGAAATGATCTCACAAACCAAAGGCTCAATAAAATTATATAAACAAAGAATGGAAAGAGCAATTATTATCATGAGAAACTTTATGGTCTTTCCTACTATATTTTTAAAACTTTCAATTTCATATAAAAAAAGTAAAGACCTAGTCTTTGTCAACAACATTTTTTTTTTTAAATAGAAGCTTTCAATGGCTTAGCCATCATTATCAGTTTCCTACTGTTAGGAAGCCACACAACAAGAACCTAAACCAACTTGCAATTTCACATATGATGATACAAATGAACAAAACTTCACACAAAATACACTGAAGAGAAGTTATATTTAAATGTGAGCACTACAATTACCTGTACACCAGTCTGGGAGTTCTGGAGCAGCAGGGGCATATCTAACATCATCATATTTTTTAAATAGTTCTTCTAAGTAATCTTTCTTATATATGCCAGGGGGTCTGCAAAGCACAGTAAAGGAGAAATCATGCATTGAATAAACCTAATTTTTAATGCAAAGAATGCACATTCCAAATGCAAATTTCGGCTGAAATGTAGTATACGGTACAACCTAAGGAAGTTGTTTAAACCGACACTTCGTGCCATTCCGGCGTTAACTAGGCAGTTAGAATTCTGGAGGCTTTCTTGAAAAGTGCTTTCTTATTAAAAAGTGAATTGGATAATTAGCATTGGATAGGACTCAGAGGATGTTTATATGCTGAACGCCGAGGCCGAAGCCCGAGCCTCGCCATAAACTAGAATACGAGGCACAGCAAAGCGGAGAACAACTTGCCTTGAAAGTAAATTGGGCGTTACAATGTGGCAGGGACCAAAAAAATCTCCTATTCGTAAGTTTTACTCATTTCTGTTAGAACACGTACAGTAATTAGGGCTTAAGCCCCAGCACTACGCTTCTCTAAGGGTGTACCATATACTAATCCCAAATTTCATTTATTCGAATTCGTACAAAATCTGCCCTACATTTTTGTCCATATGTTAATGAAAGTCATTTGTTTATAACTTACCTCACTGAAGAAAATTGTGTTACAGCAGCTTCCACACTACAGTCCATTTTTTCTACCAAATATGAAATGATAAGGAAACCTGTTCTATTAAACCCATGAGTACAATGAACACCTGCAAAACAGAAAATAATATTACAAATATAAAAGACTAACAAACTCCTAAAATAGCTAATTCTACAATAAAATGTCTAAAGTAACAATACATAATAAACTATATGAGTAAAAACACAAAGTAATCTTGAAACACAACATACGAATTACTTGCAGTTCTATGCAACTTTTGAACAAAATTTAATGCAAATTTGATCAACTGCTCCACAAGCAATTCTTATACAGCATCCATGGGTTTTTAAAGAACAATAATATTCTTCCTACTTAAGTTTCTGCTCAAACCAGATAATTTCTCATAACTTGCCATTTCACACATAACCTCACTTTGTCCAAATTAAAATTCCTCATATTTATCACACATACCACAAGCATTACAAAAATAAACACATTTTAAAACTAGGTCAAGAAATGAAAATTTTACTCACACAAGAGAATAACAAAGCTATTTTGATTAGTAAAAGAACTTTTGAACCACTAACCTATAATTTCAAGAGGATGGTATGTAATAAATTGATGACAGACTTTTATAAATGTTTGCGTTTGCTCTTCATTGGGTGCTCCGCCATGACCTCTGCACTGTAATTTTAAATACTTGCAGTCCTCTTTTTCAACATCTTCTTTGTCATAGAATCGACTCGTATTGGTCAAGTCAATCCATAGCCCTATTTTCCACTACACAGTCAATAAAGAAGAATTAGAATAAAATAATAAATTTCAACTCAAGATATGTTTACGATGATAAATATTCATAATGAATAAATAAATTTACTTGCTGTACCTTGTAACTTTTAACAACATCAAATAGAAAGTTGGTGTTGAATCGACAGTGCTCAGGTATCTGATCATTGAATTTATCAGACAATGGAGTTTTAAATGCTAGGAACTTGCCAGCCACCAAAGCTGACGATTTTCTCGGACAATTTAACCATCTTTCGGGAATTGGACCAGGACTTCTTTGGTTATGAGTCATATTTATTTCATATTAGACAATCCTGAAATAAGGACGTAATTTACAAGGGGGTTGATTTTGTGGGGAATGCAGTCATATTCCGAAGTCCAAACATAAGACTAAAAAACATTTAGAAAGTGAAGTACCTACAATGAAATCAGCGATCAGTGCAATTGCCCGCAGTTGTACCACTGTGCTGAGGAATAACACAAATCTCAGAATAATTTATTGAACACAAACATTCTCACGAAGCAAACAACACGCGTCACATGGACTATTGCCGCGTCACAGGGATGCAATGTAATTTCACTCGTCTTGGAAGTGGATCACAGTTAGCTCCGCCTAGTTGAAAGTGGAACATAAACCTTCACCTTTACGATTCCCAAAAAATTTTCTTGCCAGACATCAACTAGCCCTAACATTAAAATGAACTCTGCAACTTAAAATTAATTTAATCTCGAGTTCAAAAATATCATTTCACAATCACCGACAACATAGATGATAATTACGCGCCCAGATCATACGTATCCCACTTCGTCGCGACGCGTCTTCTCATCAGGGCCGGTTCACTCAATGTTAAAAGGCGGGGGACTAAGTTTGTTTCCTCACTGCACGGCTGGACCTGGTGCAGATAGCGCAGCTGTTGCGTTTTGGCGCGCATTTTCAAAGTAAGGGTTGTGCGAATTAATTGTGGCGCGTGTAGAGATTATTCAAGAGTAATTATCTGCTTTTTCTTATGTTCAGATTAACTTGATTAAATAATATTTTTAAAATATTGTATTGATGTTTATACTTAAAACCAAATTGTAAAGTGATTTACTTATCCTATAATTACTTTAAAAGCGAGAAAAAAGTGAAAACATGGAAGTTTTAAATTGGATCATTTCCTTATTGTTTGTTTTGTTGTTTTTTTCACATAGATACTATACATTTGAGGGGTTGTGGCAATACTGCCCTAACCCACAAAATCTTTAAATGTGAGTACTTATAGTTTCATCACTTCTCATGTGTTCACGTTATGGAATAAGCTTGTAGCAACACCTGTCAGCAATGGGTCAGAAAAAAGACATTCTTTAATCCAAAAAAATCCTCTTACTTGTTAAAAAAACTTATTTCACAATAAAACTTACAACAATATTATACAGTTTTTGAAATATTAAATTCTATTTAATTGTTGTCCTGTTCCTTCCCACTAAATGGTATTGTATCAATATACACAGGAAAAAGGTTAACATTATTAAAATTAGTAGATTAAATTCCGATTTTATTAGTTTTTACAATATTAATTTTTTTTTCTTAAACGGTATCAATAAAATTCCATTTTTATTAATGCTCATTCTCTAAGATGTTATACTTTGTGGCTTAGGCAAACATTTACTAAAAATTCTAGAATTACGAATATGCTTGAAGATTTATCGTGTTTTTCCTGAAACAAGCTCAGTGTGTGTATTGTTCTTAAATTTGCTATTATCTACAGACAATGAATGCTAGATAAAAACTAATATATCATCCAAGTCCATTAGTAAATACTACTACAAAGTGGTTTATTGTTTCATTTCATAAGCATGCTGCATTTTAATGGATATAACATTGTATTTTTTTTCTCGAAATTCTTCAATTATGTGAAAAAGTTTAAAGAAATATGATATTCGTTGTTTAACTATGTAATTGATTTAAGTCTTCATCTCTAATAACTTATATTGAAAAATAACTTAAATCAATGAATTTTTAAAAAGGTTATCATTTGTTATATATCATGATTGAAATCATACCAGCCTTAATTTTGGGGTGACTTATAGCCGAAAATGGAATTGTAATTTTGATACAATATCAATCATTGTTATTTGGGTAAGTCTTCAAAACCAAGGAAAATGAAACAAATTATAAATTAATACTAGTTTTAATGTTTGGCAAGTTGATTTGTCTTGTAGTTAGTAATAACATACCGGTAAATATGCTTAGTGTTCTGGGATTAAAGAGGGGAATTTGCATTGTTTACCAAAAAAAATCTTATGAAATGAAAATTTGTGAAGATATAACAATTTTTAATTTGGCCAGTTTCTCCTAGTTTTAGGCAATCTTAACTTAAAATAAATAACTGGCACAAATTTCTTCTGTTTAGGCAGCAAACAAGACTTTTTTTTATTTTCTATAGCTACCTGATTGGTTACTGCACATCATGACAATATTTCCACAAAGTCCACACACAAATTCCTCATTGAACCTACACATGGGAAGATCAATACTGAATTGTTACGAATGACAGAATTTTGACGGTATAAGTAGAAAAATTGGATTAGATTTTTACTTATAATTATCAATTAATATTATTACAGGATTATTGTTCAGATGTTTCATTTTAGCAATTCAAATTTGGCTACATTTAATTAAAAATCATCCATAAATTATTAAACTTTCTTAGCACTGAAGTATGTGAAATATCCAAAAAAGTATTATACTTATCTTAATATTTTTAAAATAACGTTAGATATTTAGGGTATATTATTTATTACACACAGTTTTTTTATTACACATTCAAAAACGAAAGTTTTTTAATTGTTCACATTCAAATTTGTTTTGATTATTTTATTAATAATATTTCCAGGCTTGTTAGGAAAGTTTTTCTAAACAAGGGAATTATTATTCGAAATATATATTGCTGAATAATATATTTGTCTATAATATCGAGACTAGCAGCACTTGCAGCATCAAGGGAAAAAAGATTTCACTGGCACATTTTGTAATAAGATTTCTTGAAATGTTCTTTGAGAAGAACAACAGGGCTGGGCTTGTAGGAAACACTGTTGATACAATTCCGTCTTCTAATGTTAGTGAAGCCGAATTCATTTGTATCTTGCCAGTTATCATACTGCAACTCGAAAGATCACCTCCAGAATGGAAACGTAACTCGTACACCTAAGCAAATAAACTTTAATTCATTTTCATCATACATTAATGAGGAGTGTACCTATTCTAGAAATGCAAACAATAAATGCAATTATGTAATATTGAAAATTAGACATTTTGAATACCAGGGTATTGCAAACAATGAATATATGGATATACAATGAACATATTACAAAACATGTCCGAATACCATAAACGAAATAATATAACTACATACTTTTAAACAAATAGAACAGAATAAACGACATGTACAGGTTAGGTTATACTACATGGATTTACGGAATTTTAAGACTATTTTGCATGGTGTACATGTTACAAATTAATAATCAATTACAATTATGCAACAAGATTCCAAAATGAATTATAAATCACCTCCACTGCTGGTAGGGTGAAAATACTAGCAATGTACTTGTCTAGCACCAGTTTTTCTTAATATATCTGCCAAAATACTGAAAAACAAAGTTTTAGACATGACAAATAAATATCGCGGCATAATTCACTTTACTTACAATGCACGACATTCTACATACTAACAAAAAGCTGAAAAAATTCGATAAAAATGAGCACCTACCTCTTACAGCCTGCACGTAAACGAAAAAACAAACCACCGCCTACATTCAATGTAGTACATTGCCAGCTTTTTTGAATTGGCATGACGTCCACACGTTTAGTTCGGGCTTCACGTCGGAACTGTTTGTAGATGGGGCAAGAAAAATCATTATATCCTACCTCAGTATGTGATTGCAGATGGTTGAGGACTTGGGCGGGACGCGGGTACCGGCGTGTGACGGCAGTTCTTGGGTCTCCTCCTTTGCTGCTTTCGAGTGTGCATGGTTCCTGTGGGTCTTTCATCACTCATCGTATCTTCGCTCGAAATTCGACGGCAGGTGACGATCTGGTATCAGAGTCGATTCTTGGCCAGTGGAGGACGGAGAAAACTACGCGCGGGAAATTTAAAACTACTTCGCTTGTGGGCAGCACACAGGGTAGGCAGACATCCTTGTACTAGTTGGATTTTCTAAATTTTTCCGCCTCCGAGCTAGTTTTTCAGTTTTGCCCCATCTCGAGCTAGCTGCCATCTATGCGCCCGCCCAGAGAACATTTTTTTTAAATTTCTTGTAATGGTTAGGTTTCCTAATGGTTGTTTTAAGAATATGTAAAAAGAGTAAAACCTCGTCCAAAAAAGGAATTTTTTATTGATAAAATTGGAGCGCGTTTTTTACGAAAAATGTCGTTTAAAGCGATACGTAAATACAAATTGTGAAAGCTCTTTTGGACAGAAAACATTCAGTTTTTGAAAAAATATCAGTAAGTCGTTTGAAGCTCTTTCCTGCTAACAAACGGCAATAATGTATATAAAAAAAAAAAAATTGATACTAATGGGTAGCTGTAAATTACGATGAGTTAACGACGTGAGACAGATGTTCAAAAATATGGGACATTTTGCGTAGATGTTAAGAAAAAAACAAAGGTTACAGCAAATTGGACCTTTGTTTGAATCTTAGTACCGTTAATTCATTGTCGTCTCTTACACTGAATGTTCTCTTAAGTGGAACGAAGTCGTTTCACTGAAACAGCCCTTGAGTGGAGTCTCAGAGATCACTCATTCCATATTTAATACTTTTTATTTTATACTCATTTTTATACTTTTACGTGGCGCGATCCCGGACTATTGAATTCGTTTTGCTCGTGTTTTGTATAGTGTATGAGTTAAAAAACCGGATAATTTGTGGAAATGTGTATGGGAAAACGACTTCAAAGAATTATTTGAGTTTTAATCTGCACACCATCCTGCAAATTCAAGATATGTATTAGAGGATATGGCAAACTATTGAAATGTGATGATGAACAAATTCCGAAAGCCGCGGTTTCGTGTTCATGGAAACTACTGCTAGTTTTACCAACTTTGTGCCAATGATCGACCAAGTCCCAATGACTAAATAGAGGGATTACCCGATTTCCTCTTATTACAAGTTCTCGTTGCAATTAAATTTATGCAAACTTCATCCTTTCAGGATGTTTCCAATAAATTTTAAAACTTTTTATTCATTCTGTTTAAAGAACCTATTCAAATTAATTTCTAAATCCTTCCAATTGGTAATAACAAGGAGTAATTCTAACTTGTTTAAATGGAATTTATGTTAATACTATATGGGGTTGACATTTTCAATTACATGAAATGTTATAACCATCACCAATATTGGCAGACTTATGTTCAGTACCATGTTAACCATACCACCACTTTAGTTCATAATTATACTAGGCATAAGTTAACGTTGGAGGAATCATTGAAACTGATGTTATAGTATTATTTACAATCAATAATTGCACATACATAATGTGTAGAAAAATGGCACAAGATTGCCAGAGATTCATTAGAATTTGGATACGAGGTTCATGGATTATATTTTTACGCAAACATTTCTTATTATTAGAGATTTGTATTAAATAAGCATTTTAAAATATTAACATGATACCCGGTTCAAAAATAAGTCATTGAAATTATATAGAGATGTAGGTTTATTGTTCAAAATTGCTTGTTTATTTGGTGATTGGTACGTCATCACATTAGTAAAATATCCAACATAAAAACATTCGTTTTGTCTGTATGATGACATATTAGAGGTAGTAGAAGTATTTCGTCGTGCGCGCGACGTTGGAGTGT